TCATCACTTAAATTAACGAAATTTGTTTATTTTATTAGGTAAATAAAATGTGTGGATACACTGATACTTAAAAGAAAATCACAATGTATTATGACATATAAAGTGCAAGTAAGCTTATCTATCAGCTGAGCTTTATAAAACAACTTTTAAGTAGATGCACATTTTTGAGAGAAGCAAATTCTCCTAAGATACTTTAGCTATGTACATACGTAATACGATCGAATAGACAATTCTTAAACAGGATGTTGTAGAACACAACTAATCGTAAGTAATTGAAAGAATAAGCAGATCAGAACAGAGGCAGTAAAGCTTTCAAAGGTTGTAATATTCCAAGTAAGTTGGTTAGCAACTCTTTTAAGAAATGGAAGCCAATGACATAAACATGTAACTTGCTCTTGCAAATATATTCTTACGGTGCAAATCAACTTTTTATTTATTATATATTTCAAATGAAATCTCCAAAACTATAAGTCAGTAGAAACGTTTGGAACGCGGCGCTATTCCATTTTCAGTGCCTTAAAGTTCTAAAACTTTAGATTTCTTTTAAACTTGCTTGAGGGATCATTTGTCATGCAAATCAGAGACATCTATCCATTCCGCTATAATGTAAGATTATAAAAGGTAGAAGTTAAGGAACCAATCAAAAAACTGCCTACAAGTTGGTTGAGTGCGATAATTCGCTTGCTAATCACGGAAATGAAATTTTGTTTGAAATTTGGGATAAGTTATAAGTCAAGCTGGCGTAGAATTTGATCCTTTGATTAGGGGTTTGAGCTAAAATGAGAAAGTTAAATCTAGCAGTGTTTAACTCTAGAATGAGAAATGGTGATGCGAAATAAATTTGATATTCGTAATTAGCGTACAAATACCCAACCTCCTTCGCTCCTTAATTATGTGGTTTCGAAAGTTTAAGATTTTAACCCAACCTTGCCGCAAGATTCTACGGTGCGGAGTTCCCGTGATCCGCATTCGTTCTCACTGAACCACTTTTCAGACAGATTCGTGACCTTGTCCCCTTACCATATACCTACCGTAATCCTACACAACCTTACCAAGAGGAATGGATATAATTCGTAAACAGCATTTCAAATAATCCCCCTTCCCCCATGAACGAAACCACAATATTGAGTTCTGCAAGTGGTAAATACTCAGCAAGCATGCAAAATCATACTAACATGAAAGTAACATTAATGAAAGATATAATCAAAAAAATTTCAAGGAATTGATTATATATTGCGCGCTTTCAAAATTTGTTTAGAAGATT